TTTATTTTGAATCGCTGTTATGTTCCTATTAGATTTAACCTCAAAGAAACTGCAAAACGCTAATGAAATTGAAAAATACTTTTAAATGCACTGTAGGAATCTTCCAAAATTGAAAATTTTTTCAATTATTCTGAATAAAGTAGACAAATAAAATTTAAAATAAATTGATGAAAAAAGTATATATTTGTAAATAATTTAACTTGGATTGCTGAATAAAATCTTTCTATCGCGATTAGCTTAAAACACCAACTTAACAGGAAAGCATTGGAATATTCACAAAAGCAATTCAAATGCAGTCTGGGAATAATCCTTGCTTACTATATAAAAAAAATCTTCAAACTTACGCATTCTCTTTACAGAGGTCGATTAATATTTGAAAAAAGAATTTGTTGGAAACTATTGGCCACGTTTTAGATCAGTCTTTAAAAAACAAAATCACAACAAACAATTTTAAATTTTAAAAAATTCAAATAACAAATAAGTAAGGGGCGTCAGTGGCCGCAACGGTTTAGGCGTTGACACGGCGCTCATCACTGTAAGGTAAAGGTCCCGGGTTCGAATCCAGCGGCCCTGCATTCGAACCCGACATACTTAAAAATGGGCTTTTTTCCAAAACACCGGTACCCCGAGGGTTAATATGTACTGTTGCGAACCCTCTTAAAAAAAAAAGAAAAAACAAACAAATAAGTCAATAGATGATTCTTAAGTATATCTTTCGTCTTAGCTTCTCTCAGAAATGGTGATGGAACTTCTTTCTAGTAAAAAAAAGTCCGAAACATTTGGAGAAAATTATTGCAAAGCTAATGACTTAGCCGATGTTGAACCTAGTAAATATAAATCATATTCATTTATGAAAACAATTCCTGTATATCGCCCACCTTAACCAGTCTACAAAAGAGTCACACGAAATAGAACAGTTTGCCAAAAAACAATCGCATAGTTTTAATTTAATAAATGCTGAATTTGTCCGACAACGTCATAAAACGCTATATTATTATTGAAATTTTTTTTTAATGCAGTACCGAAACGGACATTCTTTCCATTAGGAAACAAATAAAAATTTAAACTCTCCATCATATTACCAACTATTCACTTATTACCTATTCCTTTGGAGATTTTGAGAATATTTAAGAAAGTAGTTTAAAAAAAATCTTTTGTTACTTCCTAACAGACTTTTTTTACTCGTCAATTTCAGAGAGTTACAAATTACTTAAGAGAAGAAATTGTGCGCGACGAGATTGTTAGCTATTATGCAAACAAAAACTAATTTTATTCCAACGTTATTATCTCACCATAAACCAGGGATCAGAGACTTTTGCGATAAAGTAGGAGTACCACAAGGGTTAATACTTGCTCCGATTTGTAACAAATATCTGATATGCCAAAAAATGGGTATGAACATACCCCTGATATGCAAATGATACCAATACACATCATCTTCTATACTCCACAAGGAGAAGATTAACTTTAGAAAAAAGTGGTCTTATTCAAACCCAAAGTTAATTTTGGCTAGGAATCACTGGGTGGTAATATGTTTAACTTAACCTTTTATCTAGCTGAGAAATGACTTTGTTATTTTAAGTATTAATTCCACATTTTTATTGTACGACTCGATTCGAAAGCTTATTTTATGACTCATTTACTCAAAGGAAAATTTTATTAGGATCGACCATTTCTGGGTTACGCCCGTCGGAATACGCATGAAAGAGTATGCATTTTAAAACAGCAAAATGACCCAACAACTTTATTTCGAAAATAATTAACTTTAGCCAAAAACCTCTTACACAAACCCAAGTTAATTTTTTGATATTTTTTGTTACAAAAAGCATTCCAACATTACTTTTGCCTCACAATTACCTCATAGAAAACCAAAAGGAAAATAAGTGACTAGTCAGGTATTTTCACAATACCAATTATAGAAGAAAAAAGATAAAATGTGTTCATATAAAAAAAATTAAATTCATATTAAACAACCAAGAAACAAAAAAGATTGTAAAAATTTATGCAATATAAATATTAAATTATTATATTTTGCTGAGTAGCGGTTATACTACTGAAGTTATATAAACTTTGCGTTCACTCAACTGATAACTTTACATCAAAATTTAGCGTCCAATCAACTTGAATTACCCTCGTGGAATAAACAATTTCTAAAACTCGCGATTAAACTAAAATGTCGATAGCATTCGTCAAAAGGATTGGTAACAAAGCGAAACCAATTAGACGAAATGAGACTATTTCAAACTGTGCTCCGACTTATCTGTCCGTATGGGGCTATGTGTGTGCTTTTTTTCGCTTGTAAATCAACATGAGCTCTATGCGTTCCGAGGGACTTTTTAATTAAGGATAAGATTAATTTTTTTCAATTCATTTCACAGCACTCCATCCCCGCTGAGTAATTATATTATCTGGAGTAGCTTCCAGTGTTTCCCTTTATTCTTTTAGTTAACCAAATTAAATATATCTGTATGAAGAAAATACGACGAGATTTTTCTCGTTCTCGACAAAAACAGTCCGTTTGATACCAACATTTCTTAATTAAAATCATATTAACCATGAAACTAATTGTCTAAAAGTCTGAATATAAATTATTCCAAGATTTAAATTTAAATTTTAAAAGGGCAAAAGGTTCTAGGAAAAAAGGAAAATGTGTTAAACATGTTTCCCAGCACCTGCCTGAATGGGAGCTTATCTGTAAAGTTAGTTCTGTTTTAAGTTGTGATGTTTAGCTGTAAAACCTAAATTTATAGTAAAAATCTATTCAACTTAACGAAGGAACGTAAGTAGTCATTTTGTTAAAACTATTCTGATAATAAAAATGTTAGTTTATTCACTAAAAAATTTAATATACGCTAATGTTAGCTCAACTTTCAAATAATACATTCTTTAAGACTTAACAATGCAAAAAAATTCAACAAGGAAAATTGATCAAATTTAAGTACACACAGCAACTTCGGCAAACTGTCAATCTGTTAAAAGATTTTTTCAAGAATAAAAATAACATTTATTTTTTCAAATGTCGAGTTCAACTGTTTCATACTGAATGCTGAATAATTACTGTAATTTATTTAAAACGCTTTCGCAAATATAACTCAAAATTATCCAAATATAATTGAATACATTTTCAAACGGGTTTTATTTCTTTAGTAATTAATTTAAGTTTTTGTTTATTCAGATTACCATTTTTATTTGAAATTAAACATTTTCCAAACCAAATTATATACCAGTTATATTTTTTCATACACTTGAACAAACCAATTTGAAAAANTATATATATATATATAAATACAGCCTTCGAAAACTCTGGATGGAGGTATGGTCTTGAAGAAGAAAGCTAATTTAATTTAATTAAATTTGATTTATTCTTCAAGACCTTCTGGTGATCCAGAGTGTTCGTCAGTAGAAAAGTTGTCGATAAAATACTAAAAATATTGAAAATGATATACATATAGTATATACACAATTATTATGAAATTCTTTTCCAAGTCTAATTAAGCGATTTCCAGTCCAAAGTATAACTTTCCAACCTTTTTTAAAACATTTTTAAATTAAATATTTTTTCTATTTCTAACTAAAAGTTTGAAGTCAGAATAAAATATATGTGAACAAAATATACGACATGTTATATGTTTCAATATGTATTGCAAGTGTAGAAATTAGAAATGTTTTATTTTTCCATGTTTTATTCCAAACTCAACTAAACTGTTCTTAAATCAATTTAGACTTTTTCAAACCAAATTTAACCATTATAAAATAAATTGAGTATATGTATACATTTTTAAAATGTACGTGTTGTTTGGTTATTTTTGATCACATGCGGAAATGTAAAATTAAAAAAAAGAATTTTAGAAAGCCAAATAAGATTAATTTTTAATCTTGAATTCCATATATCAATTTTCTATCAATGATTTATAATGTATAAAATGCATGAATGAATTGATTTTTTTTTCAAAAAGGTAGAACGAATCGAAGGTTTACCATTAGTGAATTTATTACATAAATAGGTCATCTGGTGTAAAAATAATTAAATTTCATTATTAAAAAGTACAAAAAGAAATGTTTCTAGAACAATTATCTTATGTTACACTATATTTCTGTAAGTTGAATTAACAAAAGATCTGTAAAGTATTTGATACACAAAATGTTTTACAAAATTTCAATAGATTTTGAAAATTATTAAATCAGTTTGAAAAAAAAATTTGTTGACTTTGTTTTGGACAAAAATGATTTTACAAGAAATTTTATATTATTTCGTTTCTTCCTTTAGTGGTGCAGAAATTATACTCATTGTATGAAAACCAAACAAATAATAATAAAAATTACATAAAACGTCGGCCATTTATTTATTTTATTTTTTTTGAAATTTGGTTTCGTTAATGAAACGTTGTATGTGAATTAAGTAATTTTTTATATAATAGAATGTAAATAATAGGATTGTGATTTGCATAATGCAATTTGTTTTATTAAATGTTTAATTAGAGGTGGGAAACGCATACATTTGTTTAGGTAATTTACTGAAATAATGAAATTATCATGACATGATAAAGATGAACCAATGAAAGGCCTAATAATCTTTAATCTGCTTACATATGTGGTAATGTAATTGAGTATAATTTTTATTGCAGCCTACTTTTTTTAACATAATTATGTCATAAAATCAATTTGTTTTAAATAATTTCCGTATCACACACGGGGAAGGATTACGTTTGGTTGATTCCCTCAAGAGGACAATTTTTATATTTCAACGAGTTGCTTTTGTGGTGTGGAAAATTAAATTAGTGATTAATTCGAGAACCCCATCATCAAAACAAACCCCATTCGAGAATCAAATCAGATAAGGGGTGAGAGGGGGGGCTTAATGCATGAATTACCACGGGTAGATTGGTCCGTCAATCATCCGCCGGCGTAAAGCCCTTTCGATTCCCCCATCAACAAATGTCTATTTAATTGACAATCGGAGGACGAAACGGATCCAATCTTGGCCCGAATAAAAACATTACCTGGACTTCAAGCTCGAATCCGGGCAAGAAGCTGAGAGGCACAGGGTGGAATGGGTTGTCGTACGGCGATGTGTGAAATTCCAGGAGCATGTTGTTTCCAGATGAGACAATGTCGGGGACGGCATCTCCCCCGCACAGCCTCACCAGGACGGGATCCGTCGTAGACCCTCCGTCATAAACGGTCAGGTAATCTTGGACGACATTACACTGGTCCCAGACTCTGTAACAAACAAGAAAGAAATATTTTATTTTGCTGTTTTCCTCTTTGAGTACATTTTTCAGATCTTCTGTGGAAAACATAAACACAAATAATACCGTATCTTAGTTTTATTTCTGATAAATTCAGTTTTACATTAAATTATATTAGTCAGGAGAAAACAGATAATTTAACAAACAAATTACACGCTTATTCATAACTTACCCTCCATTCACACTCACACTCTTTCACACACACGCTCTCTCTCTCTCTCTCTCCTTCTCTCTCTCTCCTTCTCTCTCTCTCTCTTTTTCCCTCTCTCTCTCTCTCTCCCTCTCTCTCTCTCTCTCTCTCTCTCTCTCTCTCTCTCTCTCTCTCTCTCTCTCTCGCTCTCCCTTTCTCGCTCTCCCTTTCTCTCTCTCCCTGACTCTCTCTCTTTCTCTGTCTCCATTTTTCTCTCTCTCCTACTTACTCTCTCATTCTCTCTCTCTCTCTCCGTTTCTCTCTCCCTCCCTCTCTCTCTTTCTCTGTCTCCATTCTTCTCTCTCTCCCCCTTTCTCTCTTTCACTCTCTCTCTGTCTGTCTCTCTCACCTTCTCTCTCTCTCTCTCTCTCTCTATCTCTCTCTCTCTCTCTCTCTCTCTCTCTCTCTTCCCACTCTCCCTCACCCTCTCTTTCTCTGTCTCCATTTTTCTCTCTCTCCTCCTTTCCCTCTCTCCCTTCCCCTCTCTTTCTCTGTCTCCTCTCTGTCTATCTCTCCCCACTCTCTCTCTCTTTCTCTCTCCCCTCTCCGCCTCTCTCACTCTCAACATTTTTTTCTTTTTTTTTCGTTCTCCCTTGCTCTTTCTTTATCTACCTATCTATTTAATTATTGTGTCGTTTATTTCAAACTGTATGTATTTTTATAGTTAAAAATACTTACTGTAATGTAAACCAAATCAAAACTGACACATAAAGAGCAAATCCAGATAATAAATTATTAATTTAATTTTAATCTATCACTAAATGATTTGCCAGTGTTGTCATGAATTTCCTTCCATACCATCATAATTAATGTTTTTAATTGAAATTGATGAATTTCTAATTTCGTTTAAGTTAGTTTACATTAAAATAAGTAGGTGGTATTAAAATATAAATATAAAACTATATACAAATTATGTAAAAGACAACAAAATCCTGGTGTTCTTTTTTTGTCTTTGAGTGTATATGCTTTCCAAAACTATTTTTCATTTTTAGACATTTCATTTGTTTTACCTTCTGTCAATCTAAATAAATAATTACTTTCCCTTTTCCTTTCTATGTATCGAATATCGAATGTTTCAGAATAATCAAACTTTGTTTTCTAGTTTCATTAGTGTTCGAGATATCTCCTACCATGCCGTGCGAGTTTTTATAAAAATAAAATAAACCGAAACGTACATTTATCGATTTTAGACAACTCGCAAAATCAAAACCAACGGACACCGAATTCGTTATTATTTGGGTAACTAACGAACCAATTGCCGTAGCCATTTTTAGATTTTTTGGATGTTTTTCTGTTTTTTTACAAGGTAAACACTTTTTACCTTTACAATGAATTATTTTGATCACTAGTTCTTCGTAAATGTGAACATATTTTGATCAAATAGAATGGCAATTTCCAGGAGTCTTTGGATGAGATCTTTTGCGGTTAGTAGTAAGGTCATCCTGTGTTATTTCGAAATTCGATCATCGGCTAAATGGGCCGCTGCTCTACCATTTGAGCTATCGTGACCTCGATCCACTTGGACACTTCCCATCTCAACCCCACCTTTTGAATTTTTCCCTCAGATCGTGGGTTCGAATCCCGCTCGTGACACTGACTTTTTTTCTCAACTAAAAACCTTAGTTAATTGAATTGGACACAATGTTATTTTAAATGTTGATTTTATATTTCAATTGAACAAAAAAACAAGGTATTGTATGAAATAATACTAAAAAACATATTTGTACGATATTTATCAAAACAACATTTTAAAGTGAAACGAACATTTCTCCATGCAGAACCAATACCGCAAGCGAACAAATTTTAACCTCTTACTTTCTTATTTTCATATAAATTCAAGTCAGTTCAAAATTTGGCTAAAAATATTTATTCTACCTATGAACGCTACCGAAGTCTCTGCCTTAGAACCTTATAGAACTGAGACGTAAAAGATAATTCTTGGTCTAAATGTACCTCTGTTAATAAAATTTCGCTGAGAGGGATAAATATGAACAATGAAGTTGATACAAATCAATCTCGTATTCAACACAATTTCCTTTTTTCAGAGTTCTGTCCATCAAGTATTAAAATTTAATAATTTACTCATCCAAATTTTACCGATTGTCTAAAACAGCAAATACATCGTGAACCTCTGGTTTTTGTGTTATTACATGTGAGAATAACAAGGAAAAATTCAGCAACAAACTCTCCACACGTTTTACTTTTTCATGGTTTACTTAGATCAGGTTTGTATTATAAGTTGTAGGTTATAGCGTCCCCTTAACTTGTTTTTTAAGTTTTTTTATTTCTCCTCTCGCCTCAGTATTTTTCATTTGTGAAGTCAACATATTGATATCCAAACGTTAGGTAAACGTTCGTAAGTATTTTTAAATATAAAAATCAAATAACTAGACAGAGGAAGAGAGACCAAGCTTGTTTTTGTGATAAGCAGGTCGTAAAAACATCTTATTTATAAATACTACATAGAAAATCGACACAGACAGTAAACATAAAATATAAAATAGACATGGAGTATAAAAACTTTCTTGGGAATATACTCCAAGAGCCGGAAAAATGTTTTAACTAATTTACAATCTTAAAAAAATTGGCCTTTATTTAGAATGGATTTGAAAAGTATAGTAAGTTATTCGATTTTCTTAATGTAATAAAGTATTACGTAGGATTGTATTAAATGAGATTAGATATATAAAAAGTTACAAAAACGAAAAGATTCTTCCAGTACAATGGGATAAAAACATGTTGTTAAAATCAATTAGGATTTCAGAATGATATCAATCCCTTAAATACGATTTTATTTCAGACAAAAAATAATTATTTTAGAGCTAGAGCAATGTGAGAAATTATTCTTTTCGCAGGTTGTTCCGTTTAGAAAGCACAGTTTCTCGCCTTTCAGGATTTGCTTAAAGGAATTTAATTTTACGCTACTATAAATGAGAAATATCAATAAACGAGTTTTTGATTTTTTTATATCTAATATCACTTAGTACAATCCTGCAAACAATTTTCTTATTGAGGATAAAATGAAGCATCGAATGATACGTAATATATAAATACTCAATTAATTATACACATTTTTTTTCGAAATGAAAAATTTGTGTCACAGGCGGGATTCGAACCCACGACTTTCGGCTAAATACGCCGATGCTCTACCACTTGAGCTACCGTGACGTCGATCGCCCATGCCACAAATTTCTCATTTCGACTACCCGATTTTATTCTAATTATAAGCAAATCGCGGCTTCATATAGAAACACTTTTTATTAACGATTATACTAGATAAGCGGGACTGTGTACGATTCACAGGTATGATTCTAGATTCATACAAAATTTTTTCAGCTTTTATTAATTATATAAATACCCAATTAATTATACACAATTTTTTTTGGAAATGAAATTCGAATTCGAATCCCGCCTGTGACACAAATTTTTCATTTCGAAAACAATTGTGCATAATTAATTGAGTATTTAGATACGTAATATACTTAAAATAAATGCAAAAGGAAAGCAGAAAGATAAAATAAAGTATGTAAATTAGTTTATTGTGGTGTTTTGGTAGATTGTCTATAGTTAGATTTACATTCAGTGGAAAAAGTTGTTCTAATCACTCAAATCTTGCCCTTCTCATAGTTTATTTGAAACACCCAACTAAGGTTCAAGTTCTGTTTTCTGGTGAACAACTGTTGTTGTGATTATTGCGCGATTAAGGAGCGCAATAATCACGATGAACTAAATTTTGCCGAAGATACAGTGCCTTACAAACTCACAAGAGTGTGGATCGAACAAAAATTACCCTTTTCCGTAACATTGGTATACTGACGGACACAACACTTGCGACTATCCGGGTTTAATGATATAAAAGACATTAATTAATTTAACTTCTTAAAAATATTTCAGCTTCTCGCACCGCTTTGCAAGAATTTTCTAACGCGACTAATATTTTTCGACCTAATGTCATCAAACTATTCATTACAATCGGCACTCCAACGTCCGTTCCATTGCAAGTGATTGTTAGAATAATTCAAATTTTATCTATCTAAAAGCCTGAAGCCGGAAACACACCCCATGTAACGCCATGCGACGCTACCCGGTGCTACCCGACGCCTTGTCACGTTTTGGTTGGGTGTACACATCTAGCGACGTCACGCGCACGCCACGTAAAGTCACACAGCGTGTATCACAAATCAGTATCACAATCGCAAAGGCTCTTTTGTTCTTAATGCATTATTTTGAGCAAAACCATATAATAAATTGTTAGTTAAATTTTATGAGCAAAACCGTGTAATAAATTTTTAGTTAAATTCAATTTTTTTAAATAAAGTTATAACGGTGTTTTGATAAATTTTCTGCTAACCATCATAACTAAATAATTTTTATAAAAATTCATGAATTTTTGATCTCGTTTAATTTGGTTTATATTAAAATAAGAATGTTGTAATTAACATAACGACAAAATTACATTTACATAATTTGAAATAAATTACAAAAAATATGAGTGTTCTATTCTAACGCTACTCAACGAAAATGGTGTAATTTTATGAGCAAAACTAGGAAATAAATTGTTAGTTAAATTTTATGAGCAAAATCGTATAATAAATTTTAGTATAGAAATGTGTGGTGATTAGTGACCGTAATCGATAATTATTCAGAAATCGTGAGATGCGGTCTGGTGTGATGTAGGTTTCAGAAAAACAATTTCTTTATCGTGCCAACGTTTTGATCTTTATTGAGATCATCTTCAGAGCCTGGGATTTACAAACATTGTTTACACTTAACAAATTCAT